GTGATGAGATGCCCCAGAATGTGTTTATAACTTGTGAGATTTTTGATGTCAAGGGTATCGACTTCATGGGCCCCTTCCCTCCATCTTTTGGTAATACCTATATCCTTGTTGCTGTTGACTACGTCTCTAGGTGGGCTGAGGCGCAAGCTTTGCCCACTAATGATGCTAGACGTGTTTGTGGTTTTCTGAAGCAGCTATTCTCCCGGTTCGGGACACCTAGAGCCATCATAAGCGACCGAGGCACCCATTTCCAGGGTCAGTTCGATAAACTGTTGTCTCGCTATGGTGTAACTCATAAGGTGTCCGTGGCCTACCATCCTCAAACAAGTGGTCAGGCCGAGCTGACGAACCGGGAGCTCAAGCATATCCTGGAGAAGACGGTGAATCTATCCCGCAAGGATTGGTCCACCAAGCTCGATGATGCTCTGTGGGCATACCACACTGCCTACAAGACGCCGATTGGTACCTCACCGTACCGGCTGGTCTATGGAAAGGCATGCCATCTGCCTGTGGAGCTAGAGCACAAGGCCTTCTGGGCCCTTAAGCTGCTAAACTTGGATGTTAGTGTTGCAGTTGTTGAGCGAAAAAATGCAGATGCTGGAGCTGGAGGAGTGGCGTTACCACGCATATGAGAACACAAAGCTGTACAAGGAGCGCACTAAGCGCCTGCACGATGCACGGTTGCGGGGTCCGAAAGAGTTCCAGATTGGTGATCGAGTTCTCCTTTATAACTCTCGCCTGAAGCTCTTTCCCGGAAAACTCCGTTCCCGGTGGTCTGGACCGTACACGGTCACACAGGTGTTCCCGTATGACACGATCGAGATTGCCAACCCGCAAACTGAACCATTTAAAGTGAATGGACATCGTCTCAAACTGTACTTGGGAGGCGAGGTCGAACGTGCGGAGTTGGCAGTGGACTTCGCAGACCCTTAGTTCCGCCATGGGCGTCCAGCTAAAAGACGGTAAAGAAGCGCTTGTGGGGAGGCAACCCCACCACGGTTTGACTTTCTTTCTTGTGTTTTGAGTCGGATTGTAAACCGGTTTGGTTTTGGTTTGTATTCTTTTGTTTTGGATGATGTATTATTGGGCTGACCATTGGACCTAACATATTGTGTTTGAGCTCTTTTGTTCCCCTTTGGCTGTGCTTTGGTCCAGACTGGTCCCTCCCCATTCCGCTTCACTCGGCGGGTCCGCTTCCAGTCTCATGTAGTCCGTGCACACCGGTAACATCGTTCTCCTTATCCTTCCCTCTTCTCCATTGAGGGCAATGTCGATCTTAAGTGTGGGGGGGTGTTTATCTTTTGACTGCATTAGATCTGTTTGTGTGCTTGGAGCCTAGTCCACTGTCCAAATCTCGAGATTTGAGGGCTCCAAGCACTGTCGTTTGCCTGATGTTTGATCGTATTGGCCCTGTGGATGTGATTAGTGAATTGAATGGCTTTTGACTTGATACATGACAACTTGAGTGTGACTAAGACAGCCTATTATGATGACTGAGATGAGCAGTAGAATTATGGCAGGGTTCAGTTTTCAACTGTTTGCTTACCAAATGTGACTTGGTTTGATCACTTGCTTTTGACAGTCATTTATGCATCTAGTTCAGGGAATCAGAACGAGAGATAGAGCATATAGGTAGCCATGTGAGACTTGAGCCTGCTCGTTTCTTTCTTGTGCGATAGTTTCCTCTTCCATGATGTGCAGCATTCACGTTGTCATTAGCTAAGATGATGGAGGCATAGGATTAGCCACGACCAAATTGACTGTCCTGGTGTGTCATACCCCCCAGTCAGCCCCTTTGAGCCGTGTGTTTTCATTTCTTTTGGTCTTCAATGAAAAGTCACCCTTTTGCATCTTGTAGAAGGTTCCACAGAGTGATTTTTACATGCTTTCTGCTGTTTCTACTAAACGTAATGTGAGGGTTGGAGGTAGTGCTTAAAAGGTGGGCAGGTGTTTGAAAATGTGCAGAGGTGGTGGTTCTCTTAAGAAATGGAAAAAAGTGAATGAAAGAAAAACAAAGAAAAAAAAAATGAAAGCAAAAGAGAGCTACCACCAAAAATCTTAATAGTGCCCATTAAGTAGTGTTTCTTAGCAGTCTGGCTTAGAAATACTAGCATATTTATGTGAACTCCTTCGCTCTTGTGCTCTGAAGAATTTGAGTAATGCAGAATAGCAGAAAGAAAGTTATTGGTTTGATTGACTGTGAGTTTGTTGGGTTTGGAAATGTGGAACCTTGTGCTATGAATACTTCCACCACCTAAAAGGCCTTTTCCCCATGTCCAAGACCCTAGCCAGTCATCTGAACCAGTGTCTAAGACCTCCGGATTAGTTAGTGGTGACACCCCATATGTGAACTTTAGCATTTAGAGGCTGCATTCATGGTGAAGAGACGTTAGGGATTGAGAGAATAAGCATGCGAATTTTTCGCATCAAATTGTCCTGACCCCACCGGTCGAGAGTGAGCGATTCATTTTCTCATATTATCTATACTCTTTATCCCGGTGAGGACCTAGATTGCTCGGTCTTAATTCTGATATCTTGAGCTTTGTGCATGAAGTGACTGTTTTGAATAAGTGGTTGAGTCAAGTCTATGTTGGTTGGTGAACAGAAGGGAACTCTTCCTTTGCTCGACTTTATTGCATTCTAATGTCATCTGTGGTGGTTGTCTAGGTTGTCGTTGAGGTTGTCCATGTGTTAATGATCGAAAGCCAATATGATCCACGTGTTTGTGCTGATATGATATGCCCTAAAGCATGCTTGATTGAAACGTTTTGAGCTTACCTTGTGTCTGACATGGTTTGCTTGGGGACAAGCAAACGGTTAAGTGTGGGGGGATTTGATGACTCGATATTTTCACATGTTTTCCCCTTTGTTTCTTAAACGTTTGAGATTTAATTATCGCGTCTTTGGCCTATTTTACGCTAGGTTGTATTCCTTTGTCACATTTCAGGTCCTAGCACATAAAGTGAAGCATAGGCGCAAGTTTAAAGTCAATCAGAGATCAATTAGCGATTCGGGAGAAGAAACTCGGGCATGACCTGAAAAAGAATGGATTTCTACCTCACTTTATGGACAAAGAATCATGCAAGCTTGTCATGAAAAGAAAGAAGACGAAACTACGAGCGTCTGGGATCAAACGGCGACTGATTCGGAGTCCGGACGAGGGAGAAACGAAGCATTGAATATAGGGGAACAGGTTCGGCAGTAAAAACACGCGCGCGCCTAAATCAAAACACGGTCGTGCCCATATTTAGGCACGACCGTGTTTTGGCTGACGCGCGCGGGCGTGTTTTTAACACGGGGCAAAGCACGGGCGGGCTGGAGCAAAGCACGGCCGTGCCCTCGACCGTGTTTTGCCTAGTGATGCCCTTTTAGGCAGATTTCAACCAAAAGAGAGGGGGATTCGAGTTTTAGAGAGGCAGAGCGATTCCTAGAGAGACAAAGCGACGAGCAAGAGTTCCCAAGTGCCCTAGCTTGATCTTCATCACCATTGGAGCTTGGCTTGAGCTTGGAGAAGTGCCGATTAACGTCCAGGAGCAGAAATCCATTCTTCACAGTATGATTTCCGCGCCTGATTCTGCTTTTGCTTCTTTCTCCATGGAGTAGTTCTCCCATTCATCTGGGTATGGAGAACCCTAGATTTTTATGTTAGGTTCGATTGTATGAACCCAAGTACTGATTCTATGATTTGATTATATTCAATTGAGGCTTGAATGATTGAATGACTTGAATCCTGATCAAATTCCTATTGTTTCTGCTTTAACCTAGAATGAGAATATCTGCCTAGGTTGATAGAGCATCCTTGATTGAAGATAGGGAGTTGGTGACTTTAGTCGAGGAGCCAACTCACTATTCTGTACCGAATTCACTTCGGTGGAGGTTAGTCACCCGCTAGAGACTCAGATTGAGAGTGTCTGAAGACCTTTAGTCGAGACTTCAGGCTTTTTAAGAACCTTCCGCAGTATAACTATCATAGAAACTGAACTTGGTAATTGCAATCCGGCTTAACTGCGGTCTAGGGGGAACCATATCCGGGTGACCTCTCTTAACCTGAAAACAACCGTTTAGTTGCTTTGCTTGTTTGTTAGTTTAGACTTGCATTAAAGTTTCATTGCTAGATAACAAGAATTCACCGAGTAGTCATCAAATCTAGGACCCGGGTTGACATTAAAACCCAAACCCGCTATACTACGCCTTAGGAAGTGGTTTCACTTGGCCATTTTCTAGGGTCACAGTAGGAGTGAGTCATTAACTCACCTCTAAGAAGTTGAAGTCGTTTTAAGTGTTTTCAGTCACTAGCGCCAGTCCGTTGCCTTTTGAGACAGTTTGAGATAGAGCACCAGTTATGCTCTTGAGATTTTTAAGATGGGCAGCAGTTATGCCCTTGAGAATCGTGGTGAAGAGCCACCTCGATAAGTTTAAGATGTTAGGGGGATGAATCGTTACGACTTCCCTAACTAAGTTTAAGTTTAAGGAAAGCCTGAATGGCTTCTCATACGTATGAGTTGACAACCGGACTAGCTAGTGAGGGATCCCAGTGTCGGTCAAGTATTTAAGTCAAGCTTTGAGATTTAAGAATGGAGTAACAGTAACTCCCATACAGTTTTAAGAGTTAAGCTTTTTAGTAGTGGAAGTACAAAACAACTCCCACTCAGTTAAGTAAAGTGATCAAGTAGTAATAAGTAGTTAAACGTAAGGGCGTAGACTGACCCCATCTCACTCACCAGTTTGAGGAGCTAGAGGAGCAGTTTGTGAGCAGCGAGTTCGAGGGCAGCCAGCTAGAGGAGAGCAGTATAAGCGTCACGGAGGATGCTTAGTCAAGGTTTTCAGTAGCAACAACTTCAGAGATTATTAGTTATTTACATTTATGATTATGAGTACAGACTGGAGATTGTTTTGAGATCAGTTTGAGATTTTGAGTATTGAGTTTGCCCTCGTGTTAGGGCTTTGCTTTGAACTACAAGTGTGTGTTTTCAGTATTTTATTTATGAAAATTTTTCCTACTGCAATTTAAGATTTTATCAAGGGCATTTTAGTAAAAGTAGTACCCGGCCGGGTTAGGGTGTTTCACCCTCCTTAGCAGCTTCTGTCAACGTCATGTACTCTGCTTTAGTAGTAGACATGTCACTATTGACTACAGAGTTGCCTTCCAGCTCACTACAGAACTCCCAAGGTGAATACATAACCGGTCATCGATGTCCTCGTGTCAACATCTCCAGCATAGTCAGAATCTGAATAACCAGCCACTAAGCACTCTGTATCACTTCCGAAGCTAATTCCCACATCAAAGTACCCTTAAGGTACCGTAAGATCCTCGTCACAGCTTGCCAGTGCTCCTTCCTAGGTTGTATCATGAACCTGCTGACAACACTAACAGCATCTGCAAGATCAGGTCTAGTGCATACCATAACATACATCAAAATACCAACTGCACTAGCATATGGCACTCGCGGCATGTACTCCTTCTTAGCCTCTGACTGCGGCGCATAAACTGAGGATAGATTAACATTAGAATCACTAGGAGTATTCAAGGGCTTTGCTAAAGACATGCTAAACCTATACATTATCTTCTGGATGTAGCTCTTCTGTGACAAGAAAAGCTTCTTCTTCTCTCAATCCCTGTAAATCTCCATACCCAAAATCTCCTGAGAAGCTCCCAAATCTTCATCTCAAAGTCGGCACTGGGAAGCCCCTTTAACTTCTAAAATATTAGACTTCAACCTCGCAGCTATGAGCATATCATCCACATACAAAACTATATACATCATCGAACCATTTGATGCCTTGCTGTGATATACACAACAATCATAGGGACTTCTGTTGTAGCCCAGATCAAGCATGTAGCTGTCAAAACTCTTGTACCACTGACTCGTAGATTGCTTAAGTCCATACAAGGACTTCTTCAACTTACAAACATAGTCTTCTTTTCGTGGAACCTGGAATCCTTCTAGTTGAGTCATGTAAATTTCTTCTTCCAAATCTCCATGTAGGAAAGCTGTCTTCACGTCTAGCTGCTCGAGCTCCAAGTCATAATGCACCAGGGTTAATACCCTAGTTTGGTCTGAAGTTTAGCGTTAATGACAGTTCTGGCCTCATTTTTCAAATAAGACATTTATGGCCTACTTTTGAAATTATTGGACAAATTTGGCCTATGAGTTAAATTGACCGTCAAAATTAACGATCAACTATTATCTCTGTTATTGAGTCAACATACTGTGATGACTGGACCTATACACGTCATTATTAATTTTTTTTACCAAAACAAGTCATTATTATTTAAAATAAAAAAATGCAAAAAAAAGAGAGAGAAGGGGCATGAGGAGGACCACTCTTCCCCTTCCTCATCTTCTTTCTCCATCATCCTCCCCAAATACACATCCGACCAGAACCCTAAATAATCAGAGACCCGCCACCAGCCCCCTCCCTAGGCCCTCGCCTCGAACAAAACCCAGCGTCATCGTCTTCTTCTCCCCTTACCAAATCGACGCCCTAAAGAAATAAACCCAGCGCCGCCGGCAGCGGTTCGAGACAATCCCCAACGTTGACGCCACCCAGGACGCGCTGACACTGTCCAAGCTAGCTTGTCGTCGTCGCCATAACCTCCGACTGTTTCTTCTTCCCTGGGATCACCTTGCCGCCTACTGGTTCGGCAACGAGATTGGCAGATCTAGGACAGGAAGATCGACAATTTGTCTCCTTCCCTCTCTTCTTTATCTCCATCGTCAAACTGAACACGCGCGTCGCACCGCCAGTGCTCCCCATTGCCTCTGCGGAAGAGGAATCGTCATGAGCCCGACGAGGAGAGAAATAGGGACTGGCAGAGAGCATCGGCTTCTGATCTTGTGGACTGGATCTCGAGTGAGCAGTAGTAGAAGCGGACACACAAAAAGAACGGCAAGGGAGATGGAATGGAGGTAGCTAGAGATGGGAATGGTGGCGAGATGGGTGAATTTTTTAGGGAATCCATTGGGTGGGGAGTGTAGTGAATTGGGTCGTGAGGGGAGGGAGTGAGGGTGAAGATTGGATTTTGTTTTTTTTTTTGTTTTTTTTAATTTGAATTTTTTCAACCTAAAAAAATGAATTGGCAGCCATCACGTATCCACCTCAGCATTTTGATGCTCAGTCACTAATGAAAAACAGTTGATCGTCAATTTTGACGGTAAATTTATATCATAGGCCAAATTTGTCCTATAATTTCAATAGTAGGCCATACATGTCTTATTTGAAAAATTGGGCCAGAACAGTCACTAACACTAAACTTCAGGCCAAACTAGGGTATTAACCCTAATGTACCACTATCTCTAGCAACACCCAAATCGAAGTGTGACTGACCACAGGTGAGAAAATCTCATTGTAGTCAACTTCTTCCCTCTGCGAGAAGCCTCGTGCAACTACTCGAGCTTTAAATTTAATGCCCTCTTCAAAAGTGATTCCTTCTGCTTATAGATCCACTTGTTTGTAACAATGTTCCTTCCCTGTGGACGTTTGACCAACTCCTAATTCTGATTCCTGTCATGGGATTCCATCTCGTACCACATTGCAGCGAGCCACTGCACGGCTTAACTAATAGGAACTGATTCTTTGTAGTATTGTGGTTCACCCGCACCCAACCTCTACAACAACCTGAAAAGCATACGCCACTATGTCCTCGAAGCCATACCTCTGTGGAGGTACTCCTGCAGTTGCTCTCTTCTCTCTATCGGATGCTATAGACTGTTGAGCTCCTACAATGGACTATGAAGTTTCTAACACATCAGAAACATCCTCATGTTGATCTTCTCCACCTTGGTGCTCAAACTCACTCTCTTTGAGAGTTTGTAGCTCCACCTGTTTATCAACATTCATGCTATCTCCACCAATAGTAACTTTGAACATGGGGTTAAACATACACTTCTCATCAAATATCACATTCCTTTTAAGTATAACTATATGCTTAGAAGGTGACCAGACTCGAAATCCTTAAACTCCATCTCCAAAACCCACGAAAACACCCTTCTTTGATCTTGGATTCAGCTTACCCTCCTCCACATGATAGTAAATAGGACAACCAAAAACTTTCAATGAAGAGTAATCATCAGGCTTACCATACCACACCTCATAAGAAGTCTTACACTCGATATCTGTGTGAGGTCCACGGTTGATGAGGTAGCACGCCATGTTTACTGCTTCTGCCCAGAATCTTCTCTCTAGTCCAGCATTAGAGAGCATGCACCTTGCTCTCTCCAACAACGTCTGGTTCATCCTTTTTGCAATGCCATTTTGTCGTGGTGTGTCTCTAATGGTCTCATGACGGGCAATCCCTTCATCCTTGCAGAATTTGTTGAACTCAGAACTGTAGAACTCCATACCATTGTTCGTTCAAAATCTCTTGATCTTCTTCCCGATCTGATTCTCCACCAAAGTCTTCCACTGCTTGAACTTCGTGAAGGTTTCACTTTTCTGCTTCATCATGAAAATCCAAGTAAATCTTGAGTAATCATCAATAATAGACAGAAAATACCTACTACCTCCAATGGATTCAACTCGTGAAGGACCCCAACAGTCGGAGTGGAGGTAATCCAGTATCCCCTTTGTCCGGTGGATGTCCTTCTTAGGAAACTTGCTGTGATGTAGCGTCCCAAACACACAACGCTAGCAAAATTCAAAATTCAAAGAAGATCTCTCTTTGACAAGACTTGCATCCCTCGTTCACTCATATGACCCAATCACATGTGCCAAAGAGTGGTCATATCTTCCTGATAAACCTGCGATGATGCAACTACAACATAACCAGACAACACAGACCCACAAGGTCCCACGCTTCACGCCCGTCAGCACCTTCCTTGAACCTTTGCAGACATACAGAACTCCACCTCTCCCTTGAAACTAAGACCCTTGATATTGAGTAGACTCAAGGAGATCAGGTTCTTCGTCATTTATGAAACATGTCTAACTTCTTTCACGGTACAAAGCGAACCATCATGTGTCTGTTTTTTGATAGACCCAATTCCAACCACATTGCAGATAGTTCCATTAGTCATAACCACGTTACCACTATCTATTTGCTCGTAGGTTAAGAAGCAGTCCTTATTCGGAGACAGATGATATGAGGCTGTAGTATCCAGAAGCCACACATCATCATGATGTGCCTTCTCATCTACAACCAAGGCGAGATCGTCTTCAGAACTATTGTCTACTTCTGCCACGACAACAAAACCTTGGTTCTTCTGATCCCTCTCTTCCTAGGACAGTTGTACTTCCAATGCCCCACTTCCTTACAGAAGTGATAGACATTGCCTGCCTGTGGACCGGGACCCTTAGAATTTGAGTTTATGTTCGAATTCCCTTTACCAGATTTCTTCTTTCCCTTTCCACCTGTGACAGCCAACCCCGATGCTTCACCACCTATACGAAATCCGGACGCCTTATTTCTAATCTTTCTCGTGTGAAGGGCACATCTGACATCCTCCAACGACAAGCTATCTTTGCCAGCAATAAAAGAATCCATGAAATTCGCATATGAACTCGGCAAAGACACAAGTAGGATTAGGGCAGCATCTTCATCATCAAGTTTCACATCTATATTGCGTAAATCTAACAAAATAGAATTAAGTTGCTCCAGATGTTCCCTCAAAGGCGTACTTTCTTTCATCCTAAAGTTGAATAACCGTTGCTTGAGATGCAGCTTGTTGGTTAGAGACTTATTCATGTACAGACTCTCCAGTTTCAACCACAAGCCCACGACAGTCTTATCAGCAGCGACTTCAATGATGGCATCATCAGACAGCGATAACATGATGGTCTAGTGGGACTTCTCCTCCAGGGTATTCCACCCATCGTCATCAACCGCTGCCTTCTTCTATTTCGCAGGTAGCGGCCCCCACAACCCTTGTTGTTTCAATAAACCATGCATGTTGATATGCCATATAGCGAAGTTGTTCTTCCCCGTGAACTTATCAATCTTCATGTTAACTGACGTCATTCTTTAGAATCGACTCCCTATCCTGATTTCAAGACGGTGCTCTGATACCACTTGTCATGACTATTGCTCTGCAAATCGGGAAATAGGAGGATTCAACAATGCAAAAAATGAAAACACACACACGACACACGATTTACATGGTTCACTTACTCAATGTGTGTTAGCTACTCCATGATTAGGAAAGAGCCAGTTTCACTATACTTTGAGGAGATACATATTATAGAAGAGTATGAGAAGTATTTATAGTACTTCTCCTAGGTCTAACCCTAATACAATGTGGTAAAGGAAAAGCGATTACAACCGGGCCCAGAACCCGAACCCAAATATTATTGAGCCCATACACTGCAGGTTTGGGTTTGAGTTAAGGTTCGACCGAAAGAGTTGGGAGACGATTGAGTTTAAGCAAACATTGAAGAAGGAGGAACAAACTAGAACACGACCCGAAACAAGACCATGTTGGGCTTTCACAGAACACAATCATTCATGAATAATACCTCCACATTCACATTAAACACAACCACACACAAACCATTCAATCCATACAAGCATTCACATAATTGTAGCTAGAATTTACAAACACCGAAGTGAAAGAAGGGACTACTCCATTCTAGGAGAAGGGAAAACACAAGAGAGAAGAAGGTAAACCATCAAAGAGATGCTAACCTTGCTCCTTGTGTTGAAGAGATCCTCATTTGAGGGAAAAATTACCAATTCCTTGCTTGAAGATGAACCCCTAGCTTCTCCTCTTCTTTGGTTTGTCACTTTCTCACTCTAGATATCTGAAGAAGAATAAGTTTCTCACACTAGGTCTCTCCCTTTTTCTCCTTTGGCTCAACCTCCTTTATATACCCAGATCGAGCTCAGTTTAGGGTCTTAGTTCACGATCGTGAACTGAAAGGTTAGACCGCGAAACAACGATGAAACGCGCTGCATCACTTATCCCAGTTCACGAGCAATGGTATGAGTTCACGGTCTACGACCGTGAACTGACTAGTGTCCAGTGAAAAACCTTTTATGCTATGGATGACCGTGAACTCACAGCCCAAATCGTGAATTGCTGATGTTTCCGTCGTTTGACTTGATCTTCCGCCCTTTCGTCCAACTTTCAACTCCAGGGTTGGTTCCACCTACCAAAGTCTGAAAAACACCAAAATAAGGCACAACTCGGCATAAAACCAAACCTCCCGGAGTAAAAATGCTTCAAACGACTAAGCAAACCGGGGGTAAAAAGTGTACAAATGAGCACGAATCATGCCTACTAATACAAAAACTTAAACGAGTTCACTAACTCCAAATCATCTCATAGGAAACCGAAATTGATATTTGATTTTGTAAATGGAAATACGCCTCAGTCCATTGGTCATCTTCCGTTGAATTTCCATGTTTGATTCCGGTTGGGACAGTCCCCCTCTCGTCTTCTGTCTGTGCTTCACATTTTCAAAGGGGATTAGATGACTAGGTTTCCAAAATCGATTATTAGCAAGCATCAACAAGGTTAAAACTCATATTACAAAAATAAAACACCTTCATCGTGTTTGAATCATCGACAAGCGTCGCTTCGGCGATCTGGGTCTTGACGTATTATCCCGCCATCATCCACAATCTCGGTGTAGCCGATCTTCCCTAGATTTCCTCCGTTCACCGCCGAGAAGAAGAGACAAGGAGGAGGGCGGAGATGGCGAGGGTAAAAAGTGTACAAATGAGCACGAATCATGCCTACTAATACAAAAACTTAAACGAGTTCACTAACTCCAAATCATCTCATAGGAAACCGAAATTGATATTTGATTTTGTAAATGGAAATACGCCTCAGTCCATTGGTCATCTTCCGTTGAATTTCCTTGTTTGATTCCGGTTGGGACAGTCCCCCTCTCGTCTTCTGTCTGTGCTTCACATTTTGAAAGGGGGATTAGATGACTAGGTTTCCAAAATCGATTATTAGCAAGCATGAACAAGGTTAAAACTCATATTACAAAAATAAAACACCTTCATCGTGTTTAAATCATCGACAAGCGTCGCTTCGTCGATCCGGGTCTTGACGTATTATCCCGCCATCATCCACAATCTCGGTGTAGCCGATCTTCCCTAGATTTCCTCCGTTCACCGCCGAGAAGAAGAGACAAGGAGGAGGGCGGAGATGGCGAGGGTGAGGGCGGCGCCAGCATCCCTAATTCAGCAGCCGCAGTGGATCTCACCTTCCCCAGTGTTGTTTCCTTGTGTGTTTCAAAGAGAAAGAAGCAGAGTGAAAACGCAGTGTGCCGCTAAGAAGATATTGACGCAGCCAGGGTTGCGTTTTTCAAAGAAGTGAGAGAACGACAAGAAAAAGAAGCTGCCAAGAGATAGGTTTGGGCCAAGGGATTGACCGATTTCTTGCATGGAGGATTCGTGGGAGATAGACGACATAAGAATCCAGTATTAACCCATAGAAAAATTGACATTTAGTAAGCAATCACCCAAATTGTCGATGGATAATTAATTAGTAGCGCTACAAAGTTTGGGTGTTCGAAACAATGAGTAAAAAAACAGGTAATTTAAATGAAAAGCAATTGTAACATTTGTTCAAGGACTATATCATATGTATATAATTTTAATGGGTGTCATTAGCAATTATATTTGAAAATAAATAATTGTTTTTTATCACCGTAAATAATGACCGTTAGATGGGATCAACGATGAGGAAATCTGACGTATACTATACGCCTGACGTACACCAGTCGTCACCATATATATATAATAGCAAAAGACTGCTCGCTATCACTTCGCATATCAGAAAAAATAAATATTTTTAAAATATTAATGCTGACCCAAAAGTGAAAGTGAAAGTAATCTTATTTCATTCTTAATCATTCTATTCATAGATTTGTTATTTACAATAACATATGGTCAATGAACTTCAATAGGCTAGAAGGGTCGTCAAATAGATTATTTATGTTTAAACTTTTTTCATGACGCTATTGTTTCAATTTGCATGACTAATAGTTGATCCTGATGTAAGTTTTGCAGAATGAATCAACTTCTTTGCATCTTTTCAAGAAGTATTTAAAAAAATCTGTTGAGTGTTTAGCAGAAAAATATCAGAATTACTTCTAATATAAGAGGTAATGTAAAATGACTAAAAAGATTTCTAACATAAAATATGAATACAAATTCTAAAAATAAAAATAAAAAATATTTAAATGGATCACGTTAGGTTTATTTCATATTAAATAATACTATTTTCTATTTATTTATTTTATAATGATATAAATGAAAGAAATATATATTTTCTAGAAAATGAAAAATATATGGTAAGGACTAAGGACAATTTTGTATTTTCAAACCGGAGCTTCTGCTTTTAAGTTATGAAAAACTTCACCTTTGAAAAACCAGAACTTTAGAGGTGTATGGCTTGGATTCAACTTTTAAAACAATCATAGTCGTACTCTTTTGACTTTTTTTTGTTTTGTTTGATGTAATTGTGTTTCTCCTTTATGAAAATTTTGGACTAATTGCAGGTTTTAGGAGGTTCAACTCCCATTGATCGGGTCAAATTAGGTTGGATACCCATGGATTTAGGTTCAATTGTCTTTCTCAAACAAAAGGAAAAAGCAAAATGAAAAACACAAAAGCTACAACTCGCTACCGACTCAAAACTCGTCAACACCAGGTTCAACTTGCTTTTACCTAGTTGAATCAAGTTTTGACAAATTCACACTTGACATAACCCGCCAATTACAAAAACAGATAAAACTCGCTCCCGCCGAAAAACCTGTAAAATCGGGTTCAAATTGCTTTGGTCGGGTCGAATTAGGTTGTCTACCCATACGTTTGGACTCAATTGTCATTCTCAACCAAAAGGAAAAAGATAAAAAAAAAAATACTAAACCGGATACAACTCGCTCATGACCCCAAACTCTCAACACTGCGTTCAACTCGCTTTGACCAGGTCGACCCAGTTTTAACAATGTCACAATTTACCCTACCTGTCAATTACAAAAGTGGATAAAACTCACTCTCGATACGAAATGCGTCAACAATGGGTCAGAGTTCAATTGTCATTCTCAGTGAAAAGAAAAAGAGAACTAAAACTGGTCAACAACTTGTTCAACTCGCTTTGAACAATTTTTTAACAAATAAACACTTGGTCCAACCTGCGAACTACAAAAGCGGATAAAACTCGCTCACAATACAACGCTCGTCAATACCTTAGATTCGGGTTGAATTGTCTTCCCAACCAAAAGAAAAAAGAGAAATTTATAATGCTAAAGTCGGTTTCAAGTCGATTTGACCGGATCGAATTAGGTTATATACTAATTGATTTGGGTTCAATTGTGATCATGCCCAACAAAAAGGAAAAAGTGTAAGAAAAAACACTAAATTGGACGAAACTCGGTCCGGATACAAAACTTACCAACATTGAGTAGATATGGTATGGATTTTCGGTAGCGGCATGTAGAAACAGTGGAGGGGGACAACTTAGGATTCCGTTGGCAGTGTTTTGAGTAAGTTGTGAATAGGTGAGCGATGTTGATGATTGGACAGAGCATATATAGTATGGATCTTTGATCGCGGCCATGGCAAACTGTGGAAGAGGACAACTGAGGATTCCACCAACACTGTTTCGAGTTGGGTTGCAAAATGGTTCGAAAAGTGGATAGTTGCTGCAATAGAGAGCTGAAAACCTAGTAGGCAATAATTGTTATGGGAAACATAATGGACAATAAATGTAAACCTAGCGAACACCCTTGTGTTTGGGTTCAAGTTAGGACTCATGTGTTCGGGTTCAATTGTGATCATGCTCAACAAAAAGGAATAAGAGAAAGAAGAAAAAAAATACTAAAGAGGATGAAACTCGATCTCAATACAAAACTCGTGGTAGAGGCCTTGAGAAACGGTAATGGGAAACAACTTAGGATTCCGCCGACAGTATTTCGAGATGGGCTGCAAAATAGTGGGCAAAGGCGATGATTTGTGTTCAAGTTAGGATACCCATGTGTTTGGGTTCAATTGTGATCATGCTCAACAAAAACGAAAAAGAGAAAGGAAAAATAAACACTAAAGAGGATGAAACTCGGTCCTGATACAAAACTCGTGGTAGCGGCCTTAGGAAACAGGGGTGGGGAAGAACTTAGGATTTCGCCGACAGTATTTCGAGATTGTTTACAAAATGATGGGAAAATGCGATGATTTGTCCAAAAAGCCATAGACGAAAACCCAACAAACAATAACTAAACACAAAGTTTGTAGAATGGAGAGAAAGGTAAAAGAATGACTTGGAATTTTCTCACTTGTATTTGGAGAAGTGTGAGAGCCACTAATGAATAGTAACTCCAATGTGCTTTTATTAATTGAAATATATATATATATATATATATATATATATATATATATGTGGTGACTTCTATCGTACCTTGGATAAACTCTAGGGTACGACATACCTTGAGTAGGAAAACGCTATCTAGACATCGTATTAATCGGATTTTTAGGCATGATACTATACCCTAACCCTTGATAAGTGAATCATAGGTCTTAGTTTTCTAAATCATATAGCCTAACCCCTAAGATTTTGCATGTAATTTGTTGCATATATTTCGACAAATCATAACCGTCGATTGTTATTTCTAATTAAATTGATATTAGTATCTGAGATTTATAGAATTAAGACCTAGATTTTAATCTTTAAGGGTTTGGAAATAGTACCAGATGTCAAACTCCTGTCCATTCGAGATCTAGATAGAGTTTTTTTACTCATGGTATGTCGTACCCAGGATTTTACCCAAGGTACGATAGAACCACCCATATATATATGGCGAGTTCTATCGTACCCCGGGTAAAATCCGGGGTATGGCGTACCTTGACGATCTTAACCATACGTGTGATCTCGACGACTGAGATTAAATTTTATTAAATGATTTGTTTTTTTGGAATTTATATTAAATAAAATTACAGGAAGACTCATAGAATTAGTTTTTCTTTCATTTTAGTCCTCTATGTCCGTGGGTTGGGTAGTTTGAGTTGGGTTTTTTCAATATTTTGATTGAACCCAAATTCAACCACCCCAAAACATAAAGGGTACCTACCCCATCCAACCCTACCAGCACTTCGTTCCCCCCATCCCGACCCTCTCTTCTCCGCTGCTACACGCCGCTACCTTAATGCCCTATCCTCTTCCCCTGTTCCTCCGTCCTCCGCCGCTACCACTCTCCCTACCCTTTCTAATCTCCCTTGTCGGCCCCAAATTCATCGCTCACCAACAACTTAGACTCTCCTTGCAGAAGGGATTTCGAATCCTTGCAACCAGAAGAAGAAGGAAGGGTTCTCATCTGCTCGCTTTTTCTGGCGATTGGCGTTATGGCTTCTCGAACGAGTTGCAGAGACCTTCGTCGAAAGAAAAAGGGGTGACCTCCCCACCGGAGAGTCCTCCCACGACGACACAAATGGTCTTTGATGACCCCGACGCCATTAGCCTCGCTTCCAAGTTCCGTCGCTAACAGATCAACGGCGGCGCCTCAATGTTCTATCATTGATGATGTCAAACCTTCCTGGGTTAAGTTCTGCGAATTTTGTTTATCGCACATATTTGTTTTAAAACTAGATATGCCATACCCTCAAAATCAATACTAGGACCATGTTGTATCAGTATGCTATTATGGAAATTTTGGGGATTTATGTGGAGTAGAAAACTGAAGTTTGAATTTGAAAAAAAAAAGAACTGAAATTTGAAATACGAACAGGAAGAAGACGATCGAAGTGAAGCTTCGGATCGTTTCTCAACCACTCACGAGATGGAATGTGGGCTAACATCATCACACTTATAGTTTCCATAAACTTAGCATACAAAACAAGAAACGTTGGCAACTTAGTGGTTAAGCTAGTAGTTTACTATTAAGTTTGCTAGAATAGGTGTAGGGTTCGAATACTAGTTTCAACCATTATATTTAGTTTTTTTTATAATTATTAGCGGTTTTATGTTTCTTCTTTGAAATCACTTGTTCATAGTTGATTACCCTCTCCTAGCTAGTCAAGTTTTTGGAAAAATTTCATTTTTCTATTTAGAATTTTATTTTACAACTATTCATAAATAGTAATTCTACATGACATGTCATTTTTGTCACACACCGTCGTTGTGCCCACCTCCACCTTGCAACTTTGCGTTAACCCAAAACTAGTACAAAGCACTAGTACATCCCAAAACAAACCTTTGCTAAACCACGTGAAAGGGCATTTGTAGCGCAGTCTAGTAACTAAGTTTGAAATTCTGCCTTGACAAACTTATAAACGTGAAAGCTCCATGTTCTGAATGGTTCAATATTCTGCCTTGACACTGATGCGTGTAAAATGGATTGGTTGTTATTATAGAAGAGATGCAGTGTTGCTTTAAAAAAATTTGTAGCGTAAACGATTTCATATACTTAGACGCATGTAACATAGTATATAACATTATAGTTGAAAAGTGAGACTTGACATTGATAGAAGTTTTACATTGATAGAAGTTTGTCGGTTGAGGTAGAATGTCTTGTTCCTTATGAATATATTTATATCAGGAACTATCATGACATCGATACCTATGGCCAAGTCACGATGAGGTTATGATAGATCAAGGAAGATCTTATGAGATTTTTGTCGGAGAGGACCCTATCACGTGGAATAATTGTTCTTTTTCATTCTAGATGAGCAGTGAAATTCGCTAGACAGTTAAAGTACCATAGGTTGTTTTGAGATCCTAATTATTTGTTCACTATTGATTTGGATTATTTGTTGTCTAAATAATCCGATCGATTGATTAAAAAGGCCTCGTATTTTTTGGCCATTAAAAAGGCCTCACATGAATTCGAACATGCATTTTGTACCAAGCCATATAAGGCCCTTAGCAATAGCAGATCGGCGGCACAACTCCTTTTGGGCATTATTTTTATTCTCCCAACACAGATCAATTATGGCAAAGTTGAAAAACTGAAAGACTAGCCTACAAAATCAAGCAATCGAACCATATCCCTGCTTTTTCTTCCCCCCATGCGCAGGCTTCTCTGTTTTCCTTGAGAAAGAAAACTTAACCACCCTCCTCCTTCCTTAACTTCCGCCTCCCTTGCATGCAAGCCTCCCCCTCCGCCTCCGCCTCCGCCTCCGCCAGTCAATCCACCGCTGGTCGGCGGTCGCTCAATACCGGTCTCCACCTCCGAGCCACCATCGTCGCCTGCCACCGCCGCCGCTGATTTGCTCGAGGGGTTGTGGGAAGAAGAGCGGCAGAAAGTTCTCAGGACGAAAGGCAGGAGAAAGTTAGGGAGAGAGCAGCAAGGGTAGGGTTGTCGTCTGTTGGCAGAAGAGCAGGCGAAGGAAAATTCTGTGGAAAAAAGGAATTCTGTAACACCCTAACCCGGCCGGGTACTACTTTCATAAATAAAATACTGAAAACACGCACTTGTAGTTCAAAGCAACGCCCTAACACATGGGCAAACTCAATACTTTAAATCCCCAAAATGATCTCCAGTCTATACTCATAATCATAAATGTAAATAACTACTAATCTCTAGTGTTGTTGCTACTGAAACCCTCCACTAAGCATCCTTCGTGACGCTTATACTGCTCTCCTCTAGCTGGCTGCTCTCGAACTCGCTGCTCACTAATTGCTCCTCTAGCTCTTCAAACTGGTGAGTGAGATGGGGTCAGTCTACGCCCTTCCGTTTAACCTCTTATGAAAACTTGAGCACTCTACTTAACTGTGTGGAAGTTGTTTTGTACTTCCACTATTGAAAAGCTTAACTCTTAAAACTGTATGGGAGTTACTGTTACTCCATTCTTAAATCTCAAAGCTTGACTTAAATACTTGACTGACACTGGGATCCCTCACTAGCTAGTCCGGTTGCCCACTCATACGTATGAGAAGCCATCAAGGCTTTCCTTAAACTTAAACTTAGTTAGGGAAGTCGTAACGATTCATCCCCCTAACATCTTAAACTTATCGTGGTGGCTCTTCACCACGATTCTCAAGGGCATAACTGCTGCCCATCTTAAAATCTCAAGAGCATAACTGCTGCTCTATCTCAAACTGTCTCAAAAGCAACGGACTGGCGATAGTGACTAAAAACACTTAAAACGACTTCACCTTCTTGAAGGTGAGTCACATCTTTAAAAGAATTTGCTTCTTACTCTTTAATAATAACTTATACTCGGAAAAAATTCAAGGTAATTAATAAACATTCACTTCAAGCATCGCTCAGACAAAATCACCTCAAATAGCACAAAATCATCTCAAACCCTAACTCAAGCAAAGCACAAATAATCAATCATACACATAACCAAGCAACGACAACCAATTCACTAAAATACTTAAAATCATAATGCTTAAAAGAATACGTAAGGCGTAGAATTTACCCCCTTACACTCACCTCAACAAATGGTTCCTCAATTCGTAGAACCTAAATCCAATGGTGTCGCAACCAAAGATCAACGAGTTCCATTTACATGAAATAATTCTGCTTGCAATTGGCAACCACCTAAATAAACCCAACCAATCATTAAGCCACGCTGACCTTGTCTCCCACATGCTACTAATTAACCATCCTTCACCCAATGAAAACCGAGGGAGGGATCTGAAACTTACCTAGCTAGTTCCATGGAAATTTTGTCCCTACTGCTGGGCGGTTATGGTGTGAAGGAACAGAGAAGGCCATGGTGATCCAATACCCTTTCCAACGGCGCCGCAAGGGCTGAGTAGATTCAATTGCAAAAGGGAAACCGAGGCTTTGCTCGAGGGTTCTCCGGATCCGCCCCAACTTCCGTGACACCTCGCCTCGTGTACGCGGTGGAAAAGGAAAAATGGCCGGCTAAAAGGTCTCCTCCCCGGGTTTAGTTTTAGGTTTAATAAATATAGGTTCTAGGTGAGTCCGATTGAGAAGTAGGGTTAGGTTTAATTTCTTCGGGGTTAATTTGGGAATTTCACACTAGCGGGTGAGTTTAATCCAAAACTCAATTAATGTCCATAACTTTCTCATTTTATGTCGAAATTCGACACCCCTTGAACCGATAGTTCACATTTTTAATCCTCATCGGTAATCCGGTGGAACTTGACCCAAGGGTATGTTAGTCATTTTGACTTTTGGGAAGAGCGGGGTGTAACATTTCCTCGACCCTTATAAAAATTTCGTCCTCGAAATTTGCTCGGACTAATTCTCACATACTCCTCATTTGTGGTCTTCTTTGCTTCGAGAATTTACTCCTGCTATACGAACATCGATGATGTTCATTGCTTTTCCCATATACTTTACCGGACGTTTTATATATCCTTGGGCATAGGAGAGGTATTCTCAACAAGCTCGTTAGCATCGAGTAGCTTTGAGTACCTACCTGCCCATTTTAATTCCCTTGCTCGGTCCAAGGCGTGATGGGACAAAATTTCGAGTCATTTTATTTCCCTAGCTCATCCAGTACTTATCGTTGGACCCTAAATCCAAGTCGAGGTATCACATTTCCTCCCCCCTTAAGAAAAATTTCGACCTCGAAATTTTTTCATTGATGAGAACCTAAGGTCTTGCTTGAGGCAATCCTTCTGCTACAAGGACTTATACCTTGTACCACATGGAGCTATAAACCCTTGCCTCTAATTCGTGTGGTAATTGGTCGACTTATAACTCACCCATTTCTCATAAATCCCTTGCTCAATGCGACTATGGCACTATGGCACTCTCCCTTCTTAAATGCCTCTGATGGTGTAATGGCATTCGTAGATCTTGATGTTCTCAATGATTTGTCTTGGGTCTGTACTTAGGATTTCTTAAGAAACATTGAGGAAATAATTTCTTAGACAACCCTATTCAGGATATGACCCGTCATAACTTCATTCCATAAGGTGCTCATACCTTGAACTACTGCGCTTTTCATATCTTGCCTGCTAACATCTCAACTCGAATTCTCTAACATCGAACTCCGTAGCAGATGCTTGACTTGGTTAATGGCTTATTCATAGGTCTCTCCCTGGGTATTGCTTATTTCCCCTCTATAGACCTCATTATTCCCCTGTTTGATAGCTCCCCTTGATGCACAACTTGATGCTGGATTCACGATATATGGTGCCTTTAGCATGGGTCAACCCCTACATATCCCTATTGATATCCGTAATACCCCTTTTTAATCCTAAGGGTACTGATGGCGGCTTAACCTCCATCACATCCGATGGTAAAATTCCTTTAACGTAACTCTCATCCGGAGTTGACCTCATAGGTCACCTAGGTCCTTGTATCTCCTAACCTTGCATCTCTTACTTTCTTCCTCAATGCCTCGTCTTATCCCTTAACCATAACCTGAATGGTTACCGCCTCCTTACTTGTTGCTTAGTGTTGAAACCTCATACTACTGTTTCTACTTCCTGTATGCATTAGAGGCATCCCTTGCGTCTTTCTCTAGCTTGCGATCAACTTTATGAATCCTTTCCAAAATCATGACCTCCCATTTTGCGTACTTGCTCACTCCTGGCACCTAACTTAACACTTCCTTATCATCGTTTGACTTGGGAGTGCTCGTACAATCTCTTCTATTGTTCTTTGACCTTGCCTGAAATTCCTCGTACAATTTCCCCGTCTAAGAAACTTTCACCCTAGAGATCGCCACATTTCACCCTCATAGGTGGTATTGCTTTCCCTTTAGGGTATCCTAACAGGTTCGCTAAACTCATATCCATCTTACTTCTTTACTCGTGACTCCTCTTACCAATGTTTCTCGCTAGTTCTATATGTCCCTCGTCCTCGATGTAGTCATCCTGGTGCCCATATTCCCTTCTCAGTTATGTACCTTGACCGATAAGGTTTTCCCTTCGACCGTTCTGGACCACCACACTTCTACTCTACAGTTGACCATTGAGCTTCTCAGT